AAGTATATATATACTTGATTTAAAATATATGATTTGATATGAATTGTAGGTGATGACTGTGGAAGGGATGCACGGAAGTTTTTGTAACCAATCGACACACTTTCTACTTTGTAATGGAAGATGGTTTTTTTTTTGGGGGGGGGGTTGTGTGTGTGTGTGTTGTCTGTTTGTGTTTATTCAAAAATTAAAAAAAAATCTTTGTGAAAAGAAAAGAAAGCATGTTCTATGTGAATAGACCACGTCAGTGGGGAGAAAAGCTGGTGCTTTGTGCATCTGGTCAGATTCCTGCCAGCTCCGAAACTGCTACTAATCTGAATTAACATTGTAGTCTCCTGGTAATGCTAACAATATAATATGCTAATAAAGCAGTATGTTAAAATTTACCTTTTCAATCAAATACATATATATTATTTCCAATATTCTCGGACTAATATGTTTACCAGAGCACCGGTATAAGTCAAGATCTTGCTCTGCGACTCTCTATGTAAAGCATGTATTTGCCTCCCTCAAGGTGCAACTGAACCCACTCCGTAGCCCTTGTAGCCCATAGCAAGCAAACCAGATGATTTACATACAAACCAATGAACACTTTGCCATTAAAAAAAAAAAATTACCCATCACCTTTCTCAGGATTCCTCTTGCCAATTAAAATGTTAAATTAGGAAATTGATTTTTTTTTAAAAAAAAATTAAAATAGAACCTGCGCCTTTTACCTGTAATTGATGGTTGCCCTTGCAGAATATTCTAGTAAAGTCAATGGTATTTTTAAGTGGATATCAGGAACAAGTGGCTTCGGCTGCTCAAAAGGATTGCCAAATAAATCCAGGCTCTCAAGTGAGAGTTTAGCAAACTCACTGGGCAAAAATGGGAGTTTATTACGAGCCACAGATAAGAAGCGGAGATGCGACAGTTGACCAATCTTGAATGGCAATCTAATCAAATTATTATCATCTAACTTCAATTGTATGAGTTTCTGCAAGTAGCAAAACTGTGCAGGCAGCGCTTTGATTTTATTCTGGCTGAGATCTAGAGACTGAAGTGATTTTTTGAGAGTGGAGTTGCATAGAGCCACATTGAATGACTCCAAGTGATTGTCCTGTAGGTTGAGCTCCTGGAGGCAAACAAGGTCCCCAATAGTTGCTGGCAGCTGTTTAATACTATTGTGGCTCAAGTCCAGTTTCCGAAGGCTTCTCAGGCAAAGCATACGCATATCTATACGAGCTAATTTGCAATAGGACGCTTGGAGATACTCCAGAGAGTATGGGAAATTTCGAGTTAAAGGATAATCCTTCTTTGATGTTATGCTCATCTTGGTTTTTGGTTTTTCAACTTCAGAGGCCTTTGGTGACACCAGCTTAGAAAGTGGTAAAGTTTCCTCTTTGATGCCTCGATGAGCCAATTTCACTGCATAAAGGAAAGTCCTCAGCTCACTGACATTTGCCTGCGAGGAAAATGGTGCACAAAGATAAACATATATAATTCACTTGGGTTTGGGTTTCTTTAGGAGGAGAAGTTCTAATTTTCTAAATTATGAAATAAATGCACTGAGGCAGCAAGAAGTTATTCCCATTCTTGGAAAGCAAAAGAGAAAACACAGCAGTTTGTATGGCATTATTATTTGATTACAATTATCAGTGTTGTCATCATAGCTTGAAAAAAGCAAGACGATCTCATAATATATATTTATACAAAAGCCCCCCCCCCAACATCTGTTCAAAGGCATGGTCATCATTATTTCAGCTTTTATTATACTTGGATTTCCTAAATGCTTTTGTGTACACTCATTAAAACATATTGAAAACATTAAAAAGTATAATTGTTTTTTATTTATATTTTACCTGTCAAAAACAAGTCAAATAAAAACAGCAGCAAATATAACTACTAGTGATACTATACACTTTAATTTGCTCATTACTTTCAAACACACACAGACACATATATAGCTTGATAAATAGCTTGAAATAGATCTATACTAGTCTCCCTTTATTTATCAGCACAACACACACACACACACACACACACACACACATACATACATGTATGTATGTATATGTATGTATGTATGTATGTATGTCTATGTCTATGTATGTATGTATGTATGTCTATGTCTATGTATGTATGTATGTATGTATGTATGTATGTATGTATGTATGTATNCTTCAGAATGTATGGTAATTGTAGGAGAAAAAACTATTGAGTCCTTTTTTTTCCTTTAAGGTTCCCTGCATCCTGAAGGTCCCCTTGAAGTGTAGGAAGTTAAAACCCATCCCGCTGCTAGAAAAATGAAATATTCTGGGAAATATTGAAAAGGCAGAATATTATATTTCCCTGGATCAGAAATGGAGAAACATGTTTTTCGGCAGGAAACAGACTCACTCTTAATAGTCCCCATTTTTCTTAATGGGCCATTAAAATGCCCAAGTCAGTCTATTCTACATAACAAAGAGTTCTCCCCTTCAGCTCCAGGGTGATGGGATTAAGGCATGATAGTATTAACCTTCCATAGAAACTCACCACATGGCATCTGGAAACTCAAACCTGGCCCCCCATGGCAGTCTGACAACCAATCAGAATACATTTCTTACACAGGAACAGGAAACAGAGAGGTGGGGCTGAACAGAGGGTATAGAGCCAGAAACTTTCAGCTCTTCACTCTCTTTCTTCTTCTTCACCCAACATTGAAGCATGATCATCTTTTCTGTTCAGGACTCAAGCCATCTGGTCCTGTCCACCATTAAACCATCTTTCCAAGCAGCCTCCATGTCTCCAGCGTCTTTTTCCCCACTTGGAGTTGAACTCGGAAGGACATTTCTCCCAACAGAAGAAAAATAAAAAAAGAAACTTGCCGTTATAGTGGTTGTGATGTCTTCAGAACGAATGTTTTTAATTTGAAATGAAATTTAAATCCTTCCATATCTGTTTTACCTTTAGGAAAGGTGGTTTATCACCGAAAACAATGTTGATACGTTTGTCAGTCACCCAGGGATGTGCTGCTCTAGTCAATCAGAGAAGGAACACAAGCCATTAATTGAAGTATTGGATGTCTCTGAGGGCAAAAGCCAGATCAGATTAAAGGTAAATGGTTATTCAGCATATGTCTGTTATCTGTTTCTGAAACTGAGGGGATCTATCACTATGGTTACTCTCACCAGTCCCGCTTAATGTTCTTGAGGGCTTATTCTTTGTATGATAAATAATGATTTGGAAAGTAGAATACTGTACAGTATGCATTGTTCAGAAATAAAGCACTTAGGGTTGTGCACAGAACCTTGGATTCAAATGGGTAATCAGCAACTTCTTAAAACAATTCTATCTTTTCTTGGCATTATGTGGCTACCCTACACACTTGTTGCACATGCTTAAGAAAAGGTGAGTTTGGTTTAGGGAAGAATCAATTGATGCTATGTACATATCCATGCACACTCCAGAATGTTACGCCTAATAAGAATTGATTGATCATTTTCCTTTTCTCTGCTAAATTAAACTCATTACATCTCCCCAGACAAGAATGTGTATGCTATGTACTGTATAGATTTTAGTTTGTAGGCTGCATTTTGGACTTTGCTCCTTGGCTGAGACTGGTGTAGAGTAATCCTGCAGTAAGCAAAAAAATTAGAAGAGTAAACAACTGCATTTGAATCCTAGCTGATTTTTTATTTTATTTCATAAGAATGGTTCAAATTCTGCTGTTATATATTATAGTTTCACAATTGTTATATTTTATTTTTCTTCAAACATTTACAAATTATACTGTCTTTATATTTTGCCAGCTAAAGTCAGTTGTATCAAAAATTCTAGCTGATTGTACTAGGGTGGAATTATCTATTCAGATAATCACATGAGGCTCATCGCTTAAGTATTATTATGGTTGGCGACATTGTTTAAGATGCAGTACTTTATTTGGCCATAAAAGTGAAATTAAATCTGAAATGTGGGGGTGTCTGATGGTTCAATGGCTAAGACGCCAAGCTTGTCTGCTAGATAGCCGACAGCCTAGGTCAGGGGTGTCAAACTCAATTTCATTGAGGGCTGAATCAAGGCTGTGGTTGAACTGGGGTGTGTGGGGGGGGGGCTCGGCAGGTGTGGCCAATAGGGTGGGAGTAGCCAGCTTGATGCCACTCCTCAAACTGCTCACGTTTCCTCTTCACACTGGGTAGATTGGGGCGAAGGCATGCTGGCCTGATGTTTCCTCTTCACATTGGGTAGACTGGGCCAAAGCAATGTGGGCCAGCCCCTTACATTTTCCAGGACGGCCCCGTAGGCTGAATCCGACCACATTGCATGCTGGATCGGCCTGCAGGCCTTGTGTTTGACACCTCTAGTCTAGGTCAACATAGTGAGTTCTCGCTACTTGCCCCAGCTCCTGTCTACCTAACAGTTCGAAAAGATGCAGATATGAGTAGCAATAGCAATAGTTCCTACACTTATATACCACTTCAGTGCTTTACAGCCGTCTCTAAGCGGCTTACAATCAGCATATTGCTCCCAACAATCTGGGTCATTTTACCAACCACGGAAGGCTGTGTCAACCTTCAGCCATTCAGAATTGAACTTCTGGAGTTATTCGTGAATTAGCCCTGCAGTACTACATTCTAATCACTGCGCCATCATGGCTCTAGAGTACATAAATAAGTATCACTTTGATGGAAAGATAACAGTATTCTGTGCACCTTTGGCATATAGTGATGCTGTGTATACAGAAAATATCTTCGGACAACCCTGAGCACTAACCCCCCCCCCCCAGATATGACTGGACAGGGATACCTTAATCTAAGTCTGAAATATTTCAAGCAGTACAGCAACTTGATTTGACTGATAAGAATTTGAAAGTAGCATTGAAGGACGCTAGCAAATAATAATTGGAGGCTTATGAACATAGTTGGGTGAGAATGATTAACTTCTTGGTAAACTGGATTTTGAGCATTTGGAAACATATTTGTCCATCTTTTCCTTCCGAGTTGTCCTCCTCACAAGCATCCTAAGCATATTAAATTTCTCATTGATCTAGGGCTGTCAATATAGCCATTTAATATTTAAATAATTAACAAAGTAGATCCAAATGGCACACTAGAGGCTGAACTACTTCTTCATCTGGAATCATAACATTTCTCCAGGAACATACAAAGTCCATATGGTATTGAATAGGCAAGACATTTTGTATACATTAATCATGATACTTTTTTTGTTAAATACATACCAGTCACATGTCTGATATAATGAAACATTGCCTCTATTGAAGGCCCCATTGCCTTGATAGTTATATTCTGCTGTCAGGGTTAGGGAACACTCCTAACGTTTACAGGAAGTGCAGCAAAAAGATAGGAACGCAGATGTGTGTGTGTGATAAGACCAGGCAAGGAGGAAATGCAGGTAGTTCTGGTTTGGTTAATGAGTTTGTTGCTTAGGTTGAAACAGTGAAATGTTTTCTGTCTCTTTCTCTCAGCAGATAGAGAATGGTAGCCTAGAACTTGGCAGAAGAGAAAAAAGAGAGAGCAGTGAACAAGAACAAGAACATGGCAAACTTTTAACAGATGAAGAAAATTGCTCTGAACAAACCAAGAGTGTTTCAGGTTCATCTGTAGCTATGCAAACAATGGGGAAAGTTGGCAAGGGATCAAGCTATTGTATGGAACTTGACCCTGGTGATCCTAGTGGGAGGATTCTGGGGAAGTTGCAGATAAATAAATTATGTGAGTCAGGACTTACTCTTGCAACAAGCAAAAGAGCCACGTCCTCAGTACAAGCTGAGCTTCAGGAGGGAGAGGAAGTGACAGAACTTAAGAAAGCCTCACAGAACAAAGAGTTGAACAGGTTAGCTCCCACTGTGTTAAAGGAAACTAACATGCAAGATGGTAGTGTGGAGTATATAAGCTGTCACACAACACAATGTGCAGTCCCCTTTGAAAATGTTTTGCTGTATGAACTGGATTAAATTAGTTTCATAAGACCCGTACTTGAGTCTGCAGCTACCTCAAATTCTGCACTTACTGTGAAGCATACAAAAAGTCAAAGCTATACGGAAATTGAAATTTAAGTGATGGAAGAAAAAGGAACAGAAACTGCTTGTTCTTTCATTTAGTTCAAAGATTTGGATGTGACCAATTTCTTTCTGAATTTCAAAAAGAAATGTAGGCAGTTCATTAAAGCTGTACAGATTTCTCAGGCATGTCCTGATCCGAATTAGATGGCACAAGTTAGGCAAGCATGCAGATTGTGCAAAAATCTGTAAACATCTTGACATAAGTAAACATGTTTTTTTTAATATCCCATTCTTCTGTTTTCTCCAGTTTTCAGCCAAATTGCAAATTATAACTCAATAAACATTCTCCAAAATTAGATGACATTTTACACACAGCCTTTGTTGTTAGAGTGCTTTCAACTGTGTATTTACACAGCTGGAGTGATCTCATGCTATCTAGCATCCTACAGATAGAGAAGAGAATAAAGATTATTAACAATTAATTACTGTCTGGCTTGCAAACTTTTTTAGTCTTTTGGGAGGCCTTTTAATGTCTCAGCCACATTGGGGAAATTCTTCAAGTGGTATGAAAAAGTGGTAACTAGAATGAAACAATTGAAACCAAATGGATTTATTTGTAACATGGTTAGGATTCTGATGCTTCCAGACTGCCAATTTCATTTACTTAAATTTTCAAAGAATTTAAAAGCTTAATTTAAATACATTTGTATTTTGACACAACGATCAGTAGCAGGTTGAGTCTGTTTTGTTAAGTGTAAGTCATATAAGTATAAGTAACGTCATTAAATAGTCATAGGAACACCTACCTATGCAAAGAATACAGTAGGTACCTCCATAAAAATGTATTCTTAGATAATACTGTACATATTTGAAATTGTTATCCTTTTGAATATGCAGATCACATTAAAACTGTCTTATTGAAATCTAGTTAAACTATCATTATATCCAAAACTACACTACGCAATAACAGAGAAGTGTTCTAAATGTCAACTTAATTAAATTTCCTTGCTTAAGCCAACTTCTAATTATGCCCCAGAATTATACATTAGGTGGAAAATGGCCTTTGGTGCTGTTGAGTGTTTGCTGGAAATTAGCAAGTGACATCGCACAGAGCAAACACTACAAAGTCAAGATTAAAGTTTCCATGAAGTAAATGAACTTTCATCAGTGATTTATGCAGCTCCTAGCTATGCTTAATTTTAATTGGACTGTTCTATTTTGCAGACATTACAAGCCAGAAATTTTAACAAAACTCCCTTCTAAATAAGAATGATTTAAAATAGTTTGCAGTCTTTCATCTGTTTAACTTAAAAGTTCTGCCTACATATTCAAATGAAGAGATTTTATAAAATCTAATAAACCTTTCCTTTTGTAATCTTAAAAAGTATTTATTTCAGAAAGGCAAAAAAACCAATAAGATATGGAAAGCTGTTGTAATTTTTCTGTTAATTCCTCCTACTAACTGGATGTCATTTTTAAAATTGAATTTATCAAAACTATGTTTTTAAGACTAAGCTAATTTGTCCCAATTATTTAGTATAATATAATCTTTATTGTCATTGTACTTAAGTATAATGAAAGTGGTTATCTGGACAAATAATACATTTTGGATTTTATTTTTGTTAAAAAATAAGCATTTATTTTAGGATATTTGTTGGCATAATGAACTTTTATGGTGGGTTGCCTAGAAGAAATTTGAGACAAATTTTATCGTAGAGCTGTGCATATAGTTTAATTAAATTGTGACTTTTCACAAGCAAGACTTTTTAGGGTATTAAGCCTAATATATTCAGATATTTTAGAATGTTCTAATTATTTTTCTAACATTCAAATTCTAAACTCAATGCCCTCACATTAGGCTACCAAATCTAAAAGTTAAAACTATTTCAATAGGAAGTAAATAATGTATTTTTAAAAAGAGCTGTTTACATGTCTTATTTTTAGCACTGCAATATGCTCACGTTTCTGTATTGAAAATTTTAATTTGTGATATTTAAATTCAAATAAAATGGATTATATCAAAACATTGAAATTTGTATTACAAAAACATGATTTTTTATTTTGGCATACATCAAAAGAAACCAATTTCATTTTTCTCATATAAGCACATAGAAAATAAGATAAATGCTTTTTGCAGGTATTAAGGTATCAAATTTCAAGCAAGCCAGTAAAAGGTTATAGAAATGGAATACTGAGTGAGCAGAGGATCATACTGTAAAACTAAAGGGGGGGTTGGGAGAGTAAGTTACAAAACAAACGTAAAACCTAACTTTTGAAAACTCATGGACATTGAATAGCAAAAGACTGATGGGGCCCCCATAGATACAATTGCATCTACAATATTTTTCTTTGTTAAAAACAAGTTTGAAGATGTTGGGACTACCTTATAAAAGGAACTAGATCTGTTGTAAATAAAATCTCTCTTATTTCCAGTAAACAAGTAGACATTTATAGTTTATTTTGAAAATTGCTCCACATAATTATTCAATGTCCAAAATTAATTACCAAATGACATCTTCTGCAACCATTGCTGTCCATATTAAACTAGAAGCAATTTCCAAGTATCTTATGTTTGCGTATTTAAAAGACTAGTCAGTCCAACAGAGATAAAGACTCAATGTTCCTTCTTTCACTGTAATCTTCGGTAACTTTTACAGAGTTCGTGGTCCCGAATATCACCCCAACCCCCATTTTTTACATGAGGGCTCAAAGGTGTCATTGAGTACCGCTTGCTAATAGTTACGGTTTCAGGAAATAAGTATTGTTGATTGCTATTTAACAGCGAGTCAATTTTGGCACTCTGAACAGAGGGTTGGCAAGATTTTTTGTGGTGCATACCACAGTCACCAGTGTGGAAGATTCGGGGGATCTCTGGAACCAGCACCTTCCAGAAATGAGGAAGGCATCCTACAGTCAAATGTTGCAGAGTCCAGTCCCAGTTATAGTCATCATAGGTGCAGAAGGCATCAGTGCAGGCAATCAGTTGTTGGTATGTGTCCCTAGCAAACACCATGCCCATGTTGTGCTCTGTGGACTTCCATGTCTTCAATTCCACCTTGTCAGCCCGGCCGGCAAAGCTGCCACGCACAGTGGCATAAGTGCCCAAGGACAGCAACTGGCACTCAGGGCAGTCACGCTGTCTCAGGGCCCAAAGGCGTTGCAGGACATGGTAGAAGTCAGGTGCCAGGTAGTGGTCCTCCTCCAATAAGACCACCAAGCCCGGGTGTTCCCGCAGAGTACGCACCCTCTCCCACACAAAGTGAAGCTTCCACCACCAGTGGTGTTTGGTTTGGGTGAAACTCGACTCACGATAATGGCCAAAGGCATCCGGATAGTGAGCGTTCAGGCAGCCCGAGCGCAGCGCTGCCGCTTGGCCCACGTCGCGTGGGCAATCGCGCGGGTCCGTGCCTGGGAATTCGCCCGGGTAGAGCTGCAAGCTGAACGGGAAGAAAATCTGCAGGACGGCGCAGAAATCCACGGAAGCGGCCAGCGCGTTCAACTCGGCGGACCACACGTCGTGGCTGAGCACTAGGAGCACTTTCTCCACGCCGGGCGCGCGTCGCAGCGAGTCCAACAGGATTCGGAGGTGCTCGGCGCGCTCATGCACCTGCACCACCAGCGCAACGGCTACCTCTCCGGAACCGGCGCCGCCAGGTCGCCAGCGCGCCTCGTTGCGAACCGGCTGGTCGAAGTTGAGTCGGTAGACCAGAGACCGGTAGTGCAAGGTGCGATTCAGTCCCGGCGGCGCCTCTTCTTCCCGCGACACCGAAGAAGAATTGGCGTGACGCCCGTTATTTCCTGGAAGGCTGCTGCTGCTGCTAGTGACCGCCGGTGGCAACGGTTGGTCTCCCGGGAGCGGCGGCGGAGACCCGGCTTCTTCCCGTTTGCTGCTGCTGCTGCTGCCGCCAGCGCCAGCCTCGCTTGTCCCTCCCCAAAGCACTAAGGCACAGGCGGCGGCGCCCAAGACCAGCAGCAGCGCCACCACTTTGCGCTTGTAGATGCGGAGTCTCATGGTCCAGCAGATTTCCGGTTCTCCTGCGTCCTTCCTCGTCCCTCACTTGCGGCGGCTTCCAGCCGGGCCTGGCTCGGCCCCCTGGCCCTTGGCGCGCATCAGAGGAACAACCGAGCGCCCCGGTGATCCAGGGTGCCCGACTGCTTGGTCCGCCGCCGCCGCGCGCGCATCCTCTCTCCCTCTTTTCCTTTGGCCGGAGACGAAAGAGGCGGCGCGGGCGGAGGAAGGAAAGATCCCAGCGGCTCCGCCCCGGACGCACCAGAGCCGGCCACGCTACCTCCGTCGGGGCTGCAGCAACCCCAGGACCTCCCTCTCCAGGCGCGGCTTCCGGATCCGGACTACCCGCTTCGTTCGTTCGCTGGAGAGGCCGGAATCTGGGCTGAGCAATTTCTCTGTTCGGTTAGAGGCGCTCTTGGAAAAAAGGAGTCGCTTCGCGCTGACGTTCCCGGAATGAATCTGATTGGTATGAGAACAAAAGAAGGAGCGAATATTCCGCTGTCCAAATTTTCTGGACTTTTTAACTTTTTTTTTTTTTAAATTGAAGCCATGGAAGAGAATATTTGCAGCTCAGGATTGAACTGTGGGGTTCCTTCGTGCTCTCTGAGCTTGGTTGTTTTCTTGCAGATGGTTACCTAATTGGGTAATGAACCCGCTGCAAAAGAACCACCAAGGACCCCCAAACTTTCATTGTTTTCGTAAAGTTACAATGGGCAATTTATTCTCTCCAGCCAGTTTTCCTAACTATCCCTTGTTCCCCATAGGGTAATGTATAGATAACACCTGAAAGACCAGGTTAGGAACAGATCATGCTAAGAATTGACAATGACGATTAATCAGTTAATCGCATGTACAGTATAGATGTGCTCTGGATTACCAAAGATCTGTGTGAAGAACTTTTTCTAATTTCCTACCTGCTCTTCCTTGAAAAAGCAGGCAACTCACTCACAATTCATATCTCTTTCCTTGGAAGCTCATCTTTACCCCAAAGCATAACAATGATATTTTACATCAGCTATATCCATGCTGTTTTTAGTACATCGATTATGTGTGTGAGGTGAAATGTGCTGAGAGACTGCTCAAAGTCACCCAACTAGTCTTTCTTGCCTAAGGTGGGATTAGAAATCAAATTTCTGGTTTCTAGAATTTTAAAGCATTGAAATTAAATTTTACTTCCTAAAGTAACAGGAGGACTTCTGTATTTTTCTCTGAGGCTGGAAACAAATTTCTAGATTCATGGTATAGCTAAAGCATCATGTTTTATTGTAAGCACAATTTTCATCTGACCTGGTAATAAATATTGTCATGCTGATTTTAAAATTTCAACGGATGCCTGGAAATTATTGCCTACAATGTTATAAAAACACTGTAAATTGTACTTTGTAGTCAATAAATTATTGTATACAAACTAATATGTGATCTTTACAGTAAACAACTTTAAAAATGCTACAATTCTGAATCAAAATGTTTGTACATATGATTGGTGTGACAAACTTTCCTTTGATAGACAAATTGCACAAAATATGCATTTATTTTTAAAAATGAATATCAAATACTGTCATGAGTTCAGCACTTCTCATTTTCAAAGAATAGTTTATAAATTAAGATTTTTTTCAAAAATGATTGCAAATTCTGCATTCAAAACACTGCATTTTTTACCCCATCTCTGAAAATTTCTGTTTTTACCCTGAAAAACATTACAATGATTTTATAAAAATAGTGCTAAAACAAGAGTAGAAAAGCAATTTTTTCCCAGTTGAGAGGATGTGAGCCCCGGCTATTCCATTCACAGCATTAAACAGGAGTTAGGAACTTGCACCTGGCATCAGGGATAATATCTAACACTTTAAAGTGTTTAAACACTTTGTGCAGTTTTCAGATAATAAAAAACAGATGTTAGCATTTGCTGAATAAAACTTCTCAGATTATAATCTGATCACCTCACACTTTGCAAATGTTTATCAAGAAACTGAGAATAGCATGTGAGAGAGCAGAAATAGCAAAGAATAGGGGCCTCTGTGCCTCCCATATTATCCACAAGAACAACTGTGTGGGCCACACTGTGCAGATTCATAGTCACTGTTGTTTGAATGAAGCAGGTCACACAAGCCCGTCCACATTGACAAGTTTTTGACATGTGAAGATCATCACAAAGGTGATAAGGAAGAATGTGGCAATCATATGGGATCCTACAAAAAAGAAAATGACATTCATATTAAATAGACTTACTTCCCTAAAACATTAGTAAAATGTGCTATGTGAAGAAGTTATTGGAATGAGGCACAATTTTAAAAAATTGGAAATATATTTTAGATATAATACATTTTTTCTAAAATCCATCTCTCAAGACAGTTTGAACTGAGATGTAGTGATTTAATGTAGGATTATAAATTGAGGCACTTTTAGCCAAATTAGTTTACTGATGACCTTGAACAAATAACTTTCTCAAGCCTATCTACCTCATAGGGTGATTATATGGGAGACACAAAAGAATGGAGTGCTATGTATGCTATCTTGATTGAAAAGTGGGAAATTAATACTATGCAACACGTTCATATTTTACTGGTCTAGAAGTATTTTTAGCTAATAGACACATATACTTTACTTAGAGCTTACTAATAAAAGCAAATCATGAGGCTGCCTTAAATGAAGGGGCAGACTAAGAATAGTAAACAATTGAAATTACGATAACACAGGTAGTCTTAACTTACAGCCATTCATTTAGTGACCATTCAAAATAAGGCACTGAAAAAAGTGATTTATGGCCATTGCAGCATCCCCAAGGTCATGTAATCAAGATTCGGATGCTTGGCAACTGGTTCATATTTATGATGGTTGGAGAGTCTAGGAGTCATGTGAACACCTTTTGTGACCTGACAATCATCATCAATGGGGAAATCAATTTCAATTAACAACCATGTTATTAACTTAACTGCAATGATTTACTTAAATGTGTCAAGAAAACCCACTTAACTATCTTGCTTAGCAACAGAAATTTTGGGCTCAATCGTGGTTATAAGCCAATCTGTACATAAAATGATATGGAGCTACAACCTTGACAAAGCCCCCATTTGCAATATAGAAATGAACACAGGCCTATCTTGCCACTGCATGAGACACAAATTGCATAATTTGAGAATTTTCAGTGAGGAACTACAATACGAACACTTGTACTGTGCTCATTAACTATCTACATAATTTAGGAAGATTGGTTTTACTGTTTGATTATCGTGAATAAATTTTATGAAACAATGAGAGGCATGGTGGCTCAGTGGCTTAATGATATTGGAGAAATGGAATCTTTGCGCCAGCAGTTCGAGCCCTAGCACTGCATGGCAGGTGAGCTCCCATCACTCATCTCAGCTTCTGCCCCTCCACCCAGCAGTTAGAAAGCATGTTCTATTGTTATAAAGATGTAATGTTACTGGATGATATTGGGAAGAGCTAATGGGATGCCATTATGTGGTTTTGCTTTAAATCTGGAATATTTTATATAAAAGGACGTAAAAACAATTATAGTCAAATGAAGGTTGAAGTATATATATACTTGATTTAAAATATA